AATCAGATGTAATATATTTATATATTAATATATTAAGTGCCTGCTGCACTTTAATTCATCACAATTTAATAAACATACACCATGGACCAGACCTCACTCACACTTGGGAAGTGGTTAATAAACGACAGACACAGCAGGCACTACATAAAAGTATCCACCTCTCTATGCCGCCTCCCTTTTTAATAAGGCCTCTAGAACCAAGGCTATTCTCGGGATAGTGGAAGCCCTCTCAAGGCTCATGGGATGATGGAAGCTCTCTAAAGCCAAATCTAACAACACTACAAAATCATAGAGCTCAAAAAGGAGACAAATCAAGTTACCCATACTTACTCCTTTGCCTAGACTTACATAAGACCAAGACTACTACAAACTTTACTTTTATGGAAATGGGCAAATAAACATTCTGGACCATATGAGCTAGTTTCTGAAGCCCACAGTGGAGTGGAGAGTCAGGCAGGGACGGATGGCAGAAATCAGGAAAGAGAGTGTCTCAGTCCATTCAGGCTGCTGTAACAAAATACCATAGACTGGGTGGCTTATGAACAACAGAAATTTGTTTCCACAGTTCTGGAGGCTGAGAAGTCCAAGATCAAGGTGTCAGCAGATTCTCTGTCCGGTGTGGGCCTGCTTCACGTTTAAAGATGGCTGTCTGCTCCTTGTGTTCTTACACAGTTGAAGGGGCAAGGGAGCTCTCCACTGTCACTTTTAATAGGGCACTCATCCCATTCATGAGAGCTCCACCCTCATGACCTAAGCACCTCCCAAAGTCTCCACCTCCTAATACCATCACATCATGGCTTAGGACTTCCCACATATGAATTTGGGGAGGACACAAACATTCAGTCCACAACAGGGAGATAAGAGCCTGTCAATGGCAGGATATAGACACAATCACCCCCCAAAGAGTCCACACTGAGTGGAAAAATAGTAAAGCATTTCTGATCAGTGGTGGTAGAACAGAGTCATGACCACTAAGGATCTGAAAGGAAGGTGCTTGCAGGTATGTTTGACCAGAGGCAGCAGTCTTGGAAAGGCACAGATTCCGGGAGAGGAGGATATTTGGAAGGGGTGGTAATGCTTAGGGACATGGTGGTGAAGGATAAGAAAAAGGCAACTGATGTAAAAGAAAGTAAAACAAGGAAACACACTGAATTTCCCACCCCCTCACCCAAAAGCCATCATTTACTAAAGAAATATCATTTTACTGTACCAACAGACTTTTAGACCAAGAAACTTAGTAAACCACCCAGTTTCCTCTCCCTTGCCTACAGTAAACACCTATAATTACTGACCCAAGAAAAACTATAAGAAATTTAACACTGCATCCCCATAAGAATTAAGTAGTATTATACAATTTGTTTAATGATCTATTTAATGAAGGAATATCTCAAAACAGAGATTCAAAACTCAGTGAAGAAATAAACAACAAAAAACCCACAAAGGGGATTCCCTGGTGGTGCAGTGGTTGAGAGTCCGCCTACCGATGCAGGGGACACGGGTTCGTGTCCCGGTCCGGGAAGATCCCACATGCCGCGGAGTGGCTGGGCCTGTGAGCCATGGCCGCTGAGCCTGTGCGTCCGGAGCCTGTGCTCCGGAACGGGAGAGGCCACAACAGTGAGAGGCCCGCGTACCGCAAAAAAAAAAAAAAAAAAAAAAACCACAAAGATGAGAAAAAAGAGTTGATCAAACTCAGTAAAGTAATTGAATTTTTTAAATCATCTCAGAAATGAACACTAAATTACAAGGTGCCCAGAGGAAAAGAGGTTTGGATAAAAATGTGATTGGAGACATCGAAGAGAGGGATCGCTGAGAAAACACATAAAGAGATATAAAAAACATGAGAAATAAAATTACAAAGAAGATGCAACATACATTTAATTTGAGCATTCTGGGAACTGCAATCCAAAGCAGCTTTCTAAAAATAACAGAATTGAATCTTCATACTGAAAATGCCTACAATGTATTCATTTCTGTCAACTACAAAATGTATTTTAGTAAAGTGTTTAAACTTTATTAAACAAAATTTAGATTTTTTATTAAAAATAATCTTCATTCATAAAAGGCCACCTCACTTACAAAGGGAAGAAATCAGGTGAGTCTCAGACTTCTTGGCAGCAACAAGGATGCAAGACAACACATTTTTGAAAAACTCAAGATGGTAAAGCATAAGCTCAATGATCTTAAATCCACTCAAGCTTTCCTTCAAGTACCAAGGTTATAGAAAAACAGTTTTAATCTGCAAGAACTCAGAGAATACTGCACTCATAGGTCCTTCCTGAAAAATCTACTAAAGGATTTAAACCAAAAGATGACTGGAGAAACTGGCAAAAAGTCTGGTGATGAGAACAAAATATATTGAATAAAGCTGAGAATAAAACAAAGGTGGAGGAAGAGTGGAAGAATTTTATGTAAATGTTATATGTTTTGACAAAGTAGAAATAATTCAGCTGAAAACTGGGAGAAGTAGGGAGACAGAGGCACATAGAAAAAGTTCATTGACTGTGCTGTAGATCGTAAGTGGAAGTCAAAGAATTGCAAGATTAACTTCCTAAATACCTAAGGATGACCCTGCATACCAAGATAAGACCATCTCAGAAGAAACAGTTAATATTTGTCACTACTGTGTAATATTTCATTATCTTATTCTAGTCTAACAATAGATAATCTTATCATTTTCATATTTTATATTTCTATTCATCTTTTATTATTTTATTATTTTTTAAAATGCCTCCACTGCCTAAAACTGAGCCCCATTTAAGGCCACGCAGATTATATTCCATCCATACGACCCTAGGAGTAATGGACTTGACTCTGGGATCCTGGCAAATCAGTAGCCATGGAAATGACTCAGTCCAAAAGATCTGAGGCAGAGAAGCTAGATCAGCCAGGTATCAAACGGTAGCTTCAGGAAGGGAAAGAGGCTGACCAGCTGTGTTTCTTAGCAATCCATGATTTACTGCACCTTTAAGTAGCATGACTCTGCTTTGGTCAAGAGGAGTGACTTTGGAGCAAATGGAAAATATTATCCAGAGGAAGTTGCTAGTTACATAATAGCAAATACGAATGCCTTAAACCATCTGACTCCCTCAAGTGCCTTTCCTTTCCTGTTACACCAATGCCATTCTGGTAATCATTTTACTCTTCTCTGCTGAGTTCTTATAAAGGATCTCTTAAAGGCTGGAAAGACACCCAAAAGAAAGGAGTGATTTTCTCACGGTGAAGTTGTGATCTCTATGACAGATCGTAGGCTAAAATATTCAGGAGACATCCTGCTCCATGGGCTTATAAGACAAGTTAGATTTCCTTGCAAGCCAAGAACTAGGCTTTAGAGATAACTCCTGAGAGCTGACCGTTTTGAGGATCACAGAAAGACTAACTTAATTCCAGCCATAAATTGGACTCTTTGTCACCATGGCTAATAAATGTTATCAGGTGGCTTCTTAGTTATGCTATCCCTGATGACTGATGATGATTGCTCTGTAAATGTGGTGGCATCCAACCCAGATACACCCCCTGCCATGTTTATAAGGTTTTGTCTCTCTCGCAGGACATGTCTGTCATATCAGCCAGTGCCAATGGAATAGGTACTTAGAACAATGCTCTAATTTTATATGTGAGGAAACAACTCTGGAACAGTAAAGGGGATTCTCTATAGCCCCAAAGCTCTGGTGAACAGGTCAGCTCAGGGATTCCCTTGAGGTTAAGCACATAACAGGGGGAAAGGATACCGCAGACTTACATATGGAAATGAGAAGGATAGAAACCTCAGCTAGAACTCAGGGAACTTCACCACAGCCAAGAAGCTAGACCTTGTAAGGACTGAAACAGAGTCCACACAATAACCAGTTATGCTCTAGCCATCAACCACAGGGTGATTAGCATAGGAGTTTATTCATCAATACTCTTGTGCTAGTTCTCTAGCATTACTACAATTTGCTTATCAAAGAGTCCATGGGGACCATCTCTCACATCAATACTTCCAGCTTTTGGCACATGAAAAGTGACAATAATGATGAAAAAGATGATGATAATAGCAATAGCTGTAAGTTTTTGATCTTGTACCATGGACCATGTAACATGCTAAGTATTAGCCCCTTTCTACAGAAAATGAAACCAAGACTTTGAGCTAGTTGGTGAATTACCCAGATGATCCGATTCCAAAGCTCATGCTCTTTGTGCTGTAACACCTTCAGATCATGTGACCCTTCCGTGAACCAGTTAGCTGTACCCGTCTGAACTGTGGAGGCCTGTGGAACCTACACTGTGATTTACATGTAAGGACTCACCTGTGGCCACTATCTTGCACAGGTAGCTCTGAGCATGGCAGAATCGGGGTTCCAAGCCATTCAGATGCCTCCATTTCTTGGGGTGGCCAACATACTTGCTCCGAGTTCCTAGTACCTCCCCGCCTGCCTGCACTCAAGCCCAATGTTTTGCTCCCTCTCGGTACTGATCCTATACCTACATGCTGCAACTTAGAAAAAATTTTACCTCAAAAGGTTTGAGCTCTTTAGGTCGACCTTTGTATAACCTTTAGGGAATTATAAAATATCTTTGTTCTTCTGATTTCAATATTTCCTTTTTCATGCCCTCTAGGATTCAATCAGGAAGTATGTGTGGGACACTAGATTGCTAGGGTCAAAGTTGTTTCCTCTTGTTAACCGTGAACAACAAAGTGAAGGTCATGGAGATCTATGTATATACACACACACATACGTATACATTTTCTCCTTGTTAGATTGTGTTCACATCTTCACAGATTTGGACTTGTTACTAAAGAAGGCATTACTGTACTGCAATAAATCATAAATCCCTGAATTTCAAGTGCTTACTAATAAAAGTTTATTTCACGTCACAGTCTGACACGGCTCTGGTGACTTTCTGTGCTGCTTTGCTGTCCAAGTGGTGACTCAGCAGTTCAGGCTGCTTGCATTTTATAATTCTAGCACCTTACAGTCCTCCACTTCCAGCTACACAGGCAAGAGAGAGTGTGAAGAGCACTCACCTACTCAACCGCCTCAGACAGGAAGTAGCACATCTCTTCCTTTCACATTCCCATTGGCCGTAACGCAGTCACGTGGTCCAAAATCACTGCAAGGAAGATTGGAAAATGAAGTCCTGTGTACTCAAGAGGGACACGTGGATGGGTGAGCATCATGCCAGCCTCTGCCCTCAAATTGTATAACCTCTGGCCCTTTAAATCCTAGATCCAACTCGGCTAATTCCACACATCCATTCACACAGGAATTTCTCATGTCTCTTCCTTCAAAATACGGAGAATCTAACTCTTGATCACCACCTCTATTGCCCTCACCATGGTCCCAGCCTCCATCATCGATCTCCCTGACAACTGCTATAGGTTCCTCACTGGCTTTGTTGCTTCCACCCTTGCCCCGTACAATCTGTTCTCAACACCAGCCAGAGGAATCACGTTAAATCTGAGTCAAATCATGTCATGCCCCGTTTCACTGAGAGTGGAGTGTTCCTCGGGGTCAACATCATTGCCATGGCTCCAAAGCCCTTCACAGTCTGCTCCCCCTTTATCTCCAACCTTATCACCTACACTTATTCCCTTTATGTCCCTCTAACACCCAGTATGCTCCCACTGGAGGACATTTGCACTGGCTGTTCCTCCTTCCTGAAATGCCTTTCCCCTGGATATCTGCACGGCTAATTTCCCCTCCTCTTTCAAGTCTTTGCCCAGCTGTCACCCTCTCAATGAGGGCTGCCCCGGCATACTCAGCCCCCATGCTGTTACACTCCCCATTCCCATTTCCGTACTTTGTTTTTTCACGGTGTTTATCCTCTTCCAACATACTATATAACTTACATATTTATTTTACTATCTGGCCCACAATATTCACTAGAATACGTGCCACGAGAACAGAGAATCTTGTTTGGTTCACAAGTCCCTAGGACAGCACCTGGCACGTAGCAAGAACTCAATCAATATTATCAAATAAATAAGTGAATGAATCCTGTGTACCCAATGGGCCTAGTGATGGATCCCAGAATCTCCTTTTCAATATTTCTACTAGAGGATGTAATAGAGGGAAATAAATCTCCTTCCCTAATATCCACGAATTCCCAAACTACATATGTCAATTAGACTTTTACTATGACTTGCACTAAAATTCATCAATCATCCATGATTCTCACATGGATAACGTCATTTTGTAGGTTTCTGGAGTTTTTACGTTTTGACTTTGACTCTGCCAGTAGAGCATATTTAGATGTTAAGATGTTCAAGGCAAGGGTTATGGCTTTCAACTTGATTAGTACATAAAGGGACTTAATAGAATTCGTAGGATACCAGTGTTGGTGATTTTTTTTAATAAACATTTTAGCATTTCTCATAGCCTTTATACCTATGCAGATTCTCTTCTATATATAGACCCAGGCCAACCAAACAAAAGGGGTAAGCTCAGGAGAGTGGAACGTTTTCTCAACCACCCAAGGTCCCCTGTGAACCAGCCCTGGAGACCAACCCTAGCCATACAGGGCTGCGAGAACCTCATAAGTGAGCCTCCTTTTATCTGGAAGAAAGTCTGAAAAACAGACCAAAAGGTTTCAAGACCATTTCTCTCTCTTTTCCCAAGAGGCTGGGTCGCTAGTGTCTGGACACAAGCTGAGCATTACAGTCACTGTTTTAAATAAGGGGCCCCTTTGATCTGGTTTAAAAACACAAACAGAAGGGCCTTTGTCCAATCTGAATTTGACATGTGTCCTTTGATTCTGTAAATAATCAAATTTGAACATAGTGTTATAACCGCAACTGCAAAGTGTGGAATGAGGCAAGTTTTTATTATAAGAAGACAATTTGCATTTATTAAGCAATATTTTTCAACAATACAGTCTTGTTTCTGAGATTCTTAACACGTTCCTTCACCAGTACAATTTCTTTCTTTTTCTTTCCCATTCCCATAATTCTCAACAATAAAGGAAAATCTATTTAAAAGAGTTCATTTTCCACAGAGACAAAAAAAAATATTTTCAAAAGAAACCAAAAAGCCAAAGTTATTCAGATCAGTTCAATCTGCGTCTTCTGGACAACTTGACTATTGAGGGAGGAATGATTAGTTAAAAGGCTTTTCATGGAGTCCAGAGGTTAGCACTGTCTGGATATCGTCATGTATGTGAGACGCTAGGCCCAGGGAAAGAAAAGCATTGCTTCTGTGGGAAGTAAGAAAGTGTTTACTTTCAACCTTCTCAGCAAAGGTAATGCAGGCCAGTGAGCCTACTTTCTGGGGTCTTTTGGTCCCTGGATTTCTAAGCCCCAGGGCCCAAGAGAGGTTACAACCTTGAGCCCAAGCTCCCCAGAGCACCAAGGTCATTTCTAAACTTGCAGGGTGAAATGTATTTAAAGCCCTTCCCCAAGGGGAGTTGCAAAAGTTAGAAGTTGTTTTACTGTCAGGGTCAATTTATATTCGAAAGAGTGCAGGAGATGGGGTCTTTGCCCAGGGGACTTCCTAGGAAAAATAGAATTGACCTATTTTTAAGGAGAATGAATTCCAGAACTCAGTCCTTGGGACCCACTCCCCTCCCACATCCGTTCTCTATTCTTCCAATGGAGGAGAGAAGTTTCTGCAAATCACTTCTGCTAATAACAATTGTCACCCTATGTACAAGGAACTGCCAGGAGCCCTGGCGCCCTTAACCCACATCATTAACTCCAACCAGACAAAGACCCTCACTGCTTTCCAGTGCAAGAGTTTAAATCTCAAATGTAATTATGCATGGGGGCCTTGGCTGACGCAGGTATCAGTGTTAGCTCTTATTATTTCTATTTTAACATTAACCTTTAAAATGTTTCTGCCTTCCTAAAATGATTATTAATATAGAATAATCATTTGATATAGCTTAGATAGGGACATTGCAGCTTTTTTTAACACCAGAAATTCTGAAACTTAAAGAATTAGGCTTCCCCATAAAGGCTACGAAAGTGTGAACCAGTCCAGGAAATAGGGAAACAGGACTTAGATGTTTCACTGCACGTAAAGCCAATCACAATTACAGAAAATATGATCCTGAATAACACAGTAAATGGTTACCGATCAGACAAATACGCTAGAACCATGTGGGCCTGCTACAAGTTTAATCATGCAGGAGATTTTATGAAGAGGTAGATGTCTCGATCCTTTACCCCATTTTGGAGTAAAGAGCTCATCTGAACAGCTTCAGTATGTGTTGCTTTCTTTTATACTCCAACAAGAGAACATGGGATAATACTTCGAAACAGTGAAGACCAATCTACATAAAAGTTATGTGAAAGAAGTCTACCCACCTCTGTTCTTTCAGTAGCCACCAAACTTTGAAGCCAGTAAAAGGAATATTTCTTGCAAAGAAGGTAAATTACTATGTGTTTCTGGAAATCTTCATCGTGTTTCTGTTAAATCCTGGAGACCCAAGATCAGCTTTGTGTCCCTGGGGCTTTACTTCTATTTGCACTAGAAAAACACAGTGGTCATCTGTGATGCTTGCCCTTTTGGACAGAATAAACACAGCACCACTGATCCTTTGAACATTGGATGGAACCCAGTGCAACACAAGTTTTAAATATATGCTTCACTTCCTTTTTTAGTATTAGATGCTTAGTACCAGGGTCAGACTTCTACAAAGGATACATACGGAGTAATCTTCTGAACTGTTTAAGGCATCAAACTCCCCTGTGGAATCCAGCTCTCTCCTTTAGCTCACTACTTCTGTGTACATGCAGCCTCCTTCTCTGTGCTCTAAGGAGAGACGGGCATAGTCCGTCTCCTTATTTTAGTTGTTAATTGGCCAACCTGGGTTCTAATCCCTGTTTGGCCACTAACCAGCAGCATTCTGGGGTCTGTCAAGTTTGCTTTTATGGGTATCAGTTTCTTCCTCTCTGAGATAGGAAAATAGAGCCAGATGAACATGAATAACACCTCCGGAACCGATGGTCTGTGGTTGTTTAGACAACTGTGTGCATGTGTAATTAATTAGTTCTTAATAAGGACATGGACCAAATTAATGAAATCCATGGTCAGTGAAGTCATTTCAGAGCTGCTCTAAAAACATTGGTCCAAAGGTTTCCTGTGTAAGAAAGTAAGTAGAATGTTCTTATTGTCTTTCATATAGAAAATGATAATATGAAAATACATGAAATTCACAATTACCTAGAAACTAGTTTTGTTTTATTAATGTGGCTCAAATCTGAATCACAGATTAAAAATGTATCCATTTGGTGAAATGATTTATCCCATTATGAAGTACGGATATCTCCATGAGAAATAGTCATTTATCCCTTGGGAAGACTAAGTTTATCAGTTCATTTTCTAAGAGAAACTTCAGAGACAAAAAAAAGCAAGAGAGGACTTTCTAGGTAAGAGAAAATCCACGGGAGTGTAGACTAGTGTGACCTGGGACCAACCTGGCCTCTGCACAATTTTGCCTGAAGTTGGTTTGAATCATAGGAAAAATCATAATTTCCATTTGTTTCTCTTTTTTCTAAACTAAATGATTGTCCTGTCATTTTGTCACTAGAGCAGGGACATGAATATGCAGCTTCTGATTCAAATACAGTCAAATTGACCCCAGGTTAAGGCTTGCATGAGATTCTTAGCAAAATAACCTCTTACCTAATTAGCTGGTACACGTAAACTAATTAGAACTTTACCCCCTGCCAGTAGGAAATTTGAGAAATTTGGTCCAAACATGGAAAATCTGATTTCACTTGCGGGAGCTGAGATGCCAGCAATGAATGTAGGAAAAGAGACGGATTGATTCAAGTCACATGAGAAGGCTGGTGTGCCTTGCTTCCATTACATCATCCATTAAGAGGGCTGCACTGCAGACTTGACAGGTCACCTTCCCCGCATGATGAAATGGAAGAAGTGATCAGACAGAGAATTAATTGGTGCACGTGTGCTTGGCCATAGCGTTAAATGTTTATGGAGTGTTTAGATGACATCAAGGTAAAAACAAATGGTTGGAGTCACATGGTTAAGCCATGGAGTCACTGAAGTGAGTAGCAGAACTGCTGCCTTGTATAAAAGTCTTTTGGGGATGGAAGGACTCTGAACTTTTCATGAGTAAGGATTATGCGCAGGACATCAAGCTACACA